CAAAATTTACATTTTTTTGGAATTTTCTCCGTAACCATTAGGCGCATAGTAACACTTCAATATACTAAATTATTTGTTTTTTTAAGCTCTACAAAATGGTTTGAAAAGATTTTGCAAAATTTTATTTTTTTTTTTGGTCAAAAATGGGAAAAACTTATTTTTACCCCATAAAACCCCCGTTCCCATAGTCCGATCATGCTGGTTCGCGAACTCGTTCGAGTTTATCCCGCCTTACACCTTCAAACCAAATTTTATCAAAATCGGACAAAAATTACTCAAGTTATCGTGCGGATGGACAAACAATGTATAAAAATTTGAACGAATGGTGTTTTTGGCCTCTGGGGACATCAAAATGAAAAAGTAAATCGGTCCCGGGCCTAGGTCTTACCATGAGACCTACGGTAATAGCTACTTCCCTATAGGGAAATTCGCTAAAAAACTTAAAGCTTCAAACAACAATAAAACTTTCATTTTCCACTTAAAGCTATAAAATAAAAATTTCAGGCTATGAAATCATTTCATGTTACCAGCAAACGCTCGCCTGCTTCTTTGTCTAAATTACTATTTGGTATATAAACTTAACAGGTATAGATGCGGTCTTTAACTAAGCCCCACAGAAAGAAGTCACATGTGATAATAATATCTGGTGACCTTTGTGGCTAAGATGTTGGTCCGATATGGCAAATCATGTGGTTTGGGAATGACCTATCCGCGAGACTTATCAATCGTTATTGTTTACCAAGCATCAATATTTACCAATCAGCTGATAAAACTGCTACTGATTATAAGGTACTTTCCTGTTAAAGGGAACATTCATTATTATCGATGATTTTTTCGATATTTCGATCTAAAAATTCCTTTTGATAACAGAAAAGGCAAGTTAAACATGGAATGTTACACAGCAAGTTTGGTTAGTTATGTTAGGTTATTTTTTTTTAGAACAGTTTCATTTCATTATTGTTTGTTGATACTGAACAATATTGATCGTAGTTGTCAGCTGATATGTTTCAATTTGTTAATATCGATTTATCGAGAAAAAAATCATCGATAATAATGCATGTTCCCTTTAACAGGAAAGTACCGATTATAACTTGTTTAGTCACTCTTTCATGGGGCATTTTTGGAAAATTTATATGTTACACGGAAAGAGGATGGGAGGTTGGTAAAATTGTAAAGGTTTTTTTTACACCCTGCATAGTGTATAGTACTCAATGATAGTACCACTAGTAATACCTCAAGAGCTTTTGAGCTTAGGGACTCTACTATTTGTATAACAGTAATAAAACGTATTTCATTGCAAATAAGATCTGTCCATTCAAACCTTTAGTCCGTCACTGTGTTGGTGGGTCAGCAAGAGCCGGGGTGCCACCTGTGTATTAATTAACTGGCAACAGAGGACAAAGTTTGTCCATTTCACGGTGCATCTACTGGCTTGTATTGTGATGATGGATTATCGAGTGTTCGCTGACCACGACACTCAATATGCGTTGTCATTGGAAACGTAAACTGTAACAGATTTAGCTTGTATAAACAAGTTTTCAACCAGTTATTTTTTTTGTCCTCAATTTCAAACAACGTTTTTTCATGCGTAGCCCCATTTTCTCCCGTGTTTAATTATGATGAGTAAGACTTAAAAAAATCACAAAAACTAAATGAGGAAATTCACTTTGTTGCCTTAATATACAATGTTCAATATGGCATTAACGTAACCACGTAATTGACGATCTAACTAACACCGTCAAGTCTAAAGCGAACTGTTGTTAGCTTCGTTACAACCAGCTCCTTCAACATTGTTGTGATAGGTTATAATTAGGCTTGCGTGTTATCATTAGTCGTAGGTCAACAAGTTTAAACTGTTTAGGATTTGTGAGAGGGTAGTCAAAATATACCACTTAAAAACTATCGTCTGATGATATTGAGATCTTAAAAAAACAATCACTGAAGGGTTTTTTTCTTTGAAAACAATATATTGTTACGGCCCATGATGTTTGTGTTTATAATCTGGTATGAAATAAATTTATTCGAGTAAAGAAAGCTCGGTTTCTTCAGTTATAACAATTTGGAACACAACAGTTTTCATTTTTGTTCTACCTGTTGTACTATAACAGATTTCAAGTCACATTTTAGTAATTCTATTAAGCTATTGTCATGGCCTGAGGTTCATTTATGTAAGCCACTAAAGTATATTTTCTGCCTCAGTTTAAAGAGAGAATGAACTAATTTTGTTGGTCATTACAGTCTGTACGAAACCAACTGTGGACCCTCGTAATTGAGATAAGGTGTCTGGAATGAGAGAACCATTCGTTAGGCTTGGTTTGTTCTACAAAAGAGTGAATACTAAAATTACTCATAGTTTATCGTATTTTAAACTTATTTTGAAACTTAATAAGGTTATATTCATGTCTCCTTAAAATTTCAAACATGTTATGCATTAATGCACATCTTCATATACACACAGAATTTGCTTTATAATTTTGTATTTGTAAATTTTTGAAACATAAAATGAAATAACAATAAGATCAGTTTATATAAGGTAATGGTTTGTTGATAGTATGATCCACTTACCACCTTTTCCATGTATTTACCGTATTGTGAGTAATAGTATTTGTAAATGTATTTCTAGTTTTAACATACGTGTTTTATTTACTCTCTATAGTATTGTAGTCCAATGAATCGACATTTTCTGTCATATATACCTAATAAGTATATCAATTATTTTTACAAGGTGTATATGTCTTAACCATGATAGCTCGAGCAGGAAACTTCCAATGCCTTTTGTAAGGTAAGTAAATCATGAATGTCAAACATAGATCAAAACACTTCTAAATGAATAGCGAACACGACCAAGGGACTCTAAAAAAATAGCATATGGAATAGAAATATGCTTCTAGTAGTTGTGAGTTGAAATCGGTCAATTTGGCTTTTAAAATACCATCATATAGTATTTTAATGGTATGAATGTGTTATTCCATTAAAACAATGATTTTCCTCGTGATTAAAGTCCACGTGTTAGAATAGCCTTCACTGCCTTATCTCTCTTCTATTAGTTAATTGTAACACTAACGAAATATTAGATTAATTTATGCGTTAATAAACAGATTAAACAGAACCACGATTCTGACCCATTCAAACTGTACAGACGATCGCTCACAATCAGTCAAAGGTTATTGATTACTACGATCCATCAAACGAAAGAAAACCAAACCTACAGTTAATTGATTAATGAATCAGTTTAATGTCATAACTTGAAATGAATTTATATTTATTAAACAATGGTTACTCGTGGAATGAGATTCAGTATGAACATTAGGCCTTTGGAACGCTGGAAACCTTTAATTTAAATTGTAATTAAGAGTTAAACATCACAATCAATCTACTTGACTGTGTAAAGAGATTTTTCACTGTAGTTAACGTTGCACCTTAAATTGCTTAGATTAGAAATGTAATTACCATCATAATAATTTAATTGATTTGAGAATATGTTTTTTTAAGCTTAAATACAAATACCCAACAGTTGAAGATATTCAAAATGTTTACAACAAGGTTTAGTGTATTCAAGTATTAGAGTTGTACGATAAAAATAACAAAAGAGTTTATTTTGTTAGTTGTGTCTCCCATTTAGGCTACATTTGGCATAATTCGTTCCATAGTAATTCAGGCAAAATAGTTTAGATATATTATATGGTTAGTTAGAATAATTTTTATCACTATATGTGAGAAAAAAATATTTCGGGAAATAAATACTGGTTAGGTAAATGTGTTTTTTTTTATTAAATCTGATTGTCTTAAATCTTACATTTGATCTCGATAGACTACTAACAGGGTACATTACACTAGTAGGTAAGATGTTATATAACTCAATTTCAATCAAAGATCCAATAACTCTTTTAAGTTTTATTGAAATACTAATGTTTTTAAGAGGACAGTTAACTGAAGTACAGCATTTTTACCCTAAAGTCATGTCTTTAATACATTAGTGCAGGGATTGAGCATTATGTGTGTTATGGTTGTAAAGTCCATTGGTATCAACGCTAAGTTATCCTAATTTATCGCTTATGTCACTGATGTATCAACTACAAACGTAGATTTTCAATGAAAGCATTACTTAAGTAATTGGTCAAAAAATGCAAGTCAACGACTGTAAAGTAAAAAATAAGGAATCGATCGGAAACTTTTGATTACAAATGAAAACAGATAGTTAAACTTAAGATTTTGAAGATTAGTTGAAGCGTTAACAGTTTGTTTTCTGAATCAAACTTTGCAAAAATACTGTGGACATTATTCGTAACTTTGGATATCGTTGTGACACTTTGTAAGCCTCAGTCTGAATCTGAAGTTTTAATTATGTCCAAACAACCGATAGTCGTTTCAAGACAGAATTAATCTAAGTTTAATACGAACCTTGCAGTTGTTATGAAAAATAAGTTAGTGATAAACAAATTATAAAATGTATTTTTATTCAACGTTTGCAACTTAAAATACTTGAGTTGGAGATAGGTACCATTAAGCTACTTAAAGTTAAAATAAAATATATTTCTTTAAGAAAGAATTATTTCGACCATTGAGTTGCTATTGACAATTGACAAGAAGCTTTGGATATCTCATAAGTAAGCTTGGAGCTGTTTGTCAGTATTATCTTTAAATTGTATATTTATCTTCAACTTAATTATACAGTATAATCACTCTCTTCTTCAAACTAAAAAAAAAACACAAGGTAACAAAAGGTTTATTTTTTTAAGTTTCTCTAATCCCTAAAAACCGCTAACATTCCCAGCTTAACATATACCTTATCCTACGTAAACGTAGTTTACATGATGCAATTTGGTTTTACCATTGTCGTCTAATAATTTCCCGAATAAGGAAACAAAGTTCACATCATATCGGCCCATTTATTGGTTTAGGTTTTTGGGTTATCAGCGTTGATAATAGAGGGAAGGTCGACGTACCAGACCAGCCTTCACAGAGTTCATCTGTTTATGTTGGTTACAAGTGACGGCCAAGGCCTCAGTAAAATAAGTGATAGTAGTTCAGTGACTGGCGCTATGGTTGGATCGAGGCTTGTAGGACTAGTTCTAGCAGTCAGGTACCTATAATTCACATATACATATACATATGTATTTGTAGGCTAAGAAATGTTCTAATATATTTTACTTCCTCGCCCTAAACTATGTTAGCCAATGTTGCCTGAATTCTGATCGAATTGAGAATTATTAATTAATTTACCTGCATTTTGCAGATATCAAAATCAACTATCTATATGAATTAACTTAGTTTTCCTGGAACTAATAAATTGATAAAAGAATTAGTATTCTTTTATTTATTATATATATAGGACTCTTCTGCAATCAATGATACGTAACTCCATTTACATTAGTTATTTTATATGTTCTGGTTTTAAAATACACCTAGAAATAAAAGCTTTCATTTGAGATATTGATGGTCTAAATCAGTTAAGTTCAAGATACTCTTTCTTTACTTTTTTACTAAATCACAAATCATAAATTTGATTATTTCTAGAAAATGGAATTTAATTTTAAATATTATATTTATTCAATTCTAATCAAGTAATCCTATGTGTTTTATCGAAGAATCTTCAGTACAATACCAGCTTTCATTCAGTTATTGATCATTATGATCGGACGTACCTAATTTAGGTTGCTGTATCACGAACAACCAAAATTGTTTTTAAAAATTGAGTTATTTATCATCAATTGATGGTTTAGTGATTTTGCTTGAAACATCAACAGTAACAGTCGATTTCGACGGGTTTCACCTAGTATGTTATAATTTTAAGTTTACTACTACACACCTGTAATGGAGCGACAATATTATGTAATCTTTTTTTCATATGACCAAGTTAAGAAATACTTTAAGCTTTTAGGACTCAAACCATCTTAATGGGTCGATTTTACTTTCTCCCCCTATACAGGGTGAATGATATAAGTGTGCCAGCCGTTTTATTCGAAAACTATAAGAGATATCAATAAAAGTTAAATGGTAAGTGCCTTGGATTTTTTATTTAAAAATTGTAGTCAATTCGAAAAAATATTTTAGCCACAATTTTTCCAATATGGCCGCCAACTTTGATTTTTCTTATGGAACACCCTGTATTTTATGATGTAAGTTATTCCGGTAGAAAATGTAATTTTAAGACAATTTTACTCTTGTTTTGTTTCATAAACCTAACCGTTTCTAAGATAATAATGGTTACAGTTTTGGAATTTAGAGTTTCGATAAAGGCCTAAGCAAGCATGCCAGCTGTTTTATTCAAAAAAATATTCAAAATTTCACAGCTTAGGCCATTATTATCATTGAAACGGTTAGGTTTATAAAAAAAATTACAAGAATAAAATCGTCTTAAAATTACATTTTCTACAGGAATACATCATAAAATCCATAAGAAAAATCAAAGTTGGCGGCCATATTGGAAAAATGGCGGCTAAAATATTTTTTTCCGACATGACTACAATTTTTTAAATAAAAAATCCAAGGCACTTACTATTTAACTTTTTTTATAACTCTTATAGATTTCGAATAAAACGGCTGGCACACTTATATCAATCACCCTGTACATAGTATATAGAGAAAGTATTGTTTTCGTTAAAATTTCCGAGTCAAAAAGGGTGAACCCAAAAAAGTGATTTTCGAAGTGATGTGTACACCTGTCGTCCGATTTTGACGAGATGTGGTACGTAGGTACTAATGCATTATATCTCCAGGCATGTTTTCATTTTTTTTTAAATTTTTATTTTTAAGGGTGATTTTTCCAAAAGAACCCATAAAATAATGAAATAATCAGATTTTCTCGAAAACGGCCCAAACAATTTTGATAGAGATTTAGTATGTTATAGTCCTATAAGTTCTGAACTAAATGAAACAAATTCCATTTTCGAAAAAAATACGGGTTTAAAGTAATTGTAACTTATGTTATTTTCCCATAAAAACGAAAAATTGGAATTTAGAAAAATGCCAGTTTTGATTAAATTCAGTATGTTATGGTCGTAAAAATTGTTTACAAAATGGTACAGATCCCATTTCCGTATAAAGTACGTACAAAAGTTATTGTAACTTATGTTATTTCCCTTAAAAACCCCCATAAAGTAACAAAATATCGGATTTTACGAAAAAAGCAGGTTTTGATTACAATCCATGTGTTATGGTCCTTATAGTTCTAAAAAAATTGTGAAATACCCCCCCCCCCCCCCATTGCCGTAACAATTATGGTTTAACATTTGTGATTTATTTTAACTTTTAGCCATCAATAATTAACTCATGAGATTCAACATGGCCTGTTTTCATCAGTTATCGATCTAATTATTTATTATTCATTATAACAGGTTTAAAATCAGTAGCAACTAGAAAATATTATGATCGTTAAAATGTTACTATACTACAACAATATTGTCTTCACAACATAATTCATCTTTTAAAACCTATAAAATTCAAACTTAAATCTAAAGAGTATCACTGTCATAGAATACTATGTAATTAACTTTAATTAAGTTGTCATCTCCGGGAGTACCCATGGGAGGGACTCTTAAATGTTAAGGTGGTTCATTGATTGGGATAACTATCGACTTTTAAATGTTATTTGCAGTCACGTGAACGGTGATTTCTGAAGAGTTATAAGTAAAGATTGTTGAATAATAAGATCTCCAGTTTCATGACGTTCAATGAAGTTTTTGCCTAGTATATTTTAGTAACATTTGAGTTCTTATAAACAGTAAAAAGGTAAACTGATGAGATCATTAGACGTTAAACTAATTAAATAAATGCCTCGTACATTGAATAACTCGTTGAAAATATTTAACACTAAACAGGAACTTTTCTTGTTACAGTTTTCTGAACTCTCAAGACACTGCAGCAGAGCCAGAGGTAAACTATATTCCTAATGAGTCTGTCTGTTGTAATGAAAATTCATGCAAGAGGTCGTTTGACAAAAACTACGGAGCTATGGAACCATTCTTGACCAGCCTTCATTCGAGTATACATAAAGCAGAGTTAGAATTAGCCAACCCCAATGACTACCCGCCACACTACAATGTGGGACATGAGGAACAGTTTGATTTTATAGTGGTAGGGGCGGGTTCAGCCGGATCTGTAGTGGCAAGTAGGCTGTCAGAGGTGGGTGACTGGAGAGTGCTACTAGTAGAGGCTGGTGGAGACCCTCCTGTGACGTCAGAGATTCCATCGCTAGCTGCGTTTCTACATGATACTGAAGTCGACTGGCAGTACAAAACAGATGCTGACGAGGAAAACTGTCTAGGAATGGTAGGGAACCAATGTAAGTGGCCAAGAGGAAAGGTTTTAGGTGGATCGAGTACTATAAATTACATGATGCATACACGAGGACATCCGAAAGACTTTGACAGTTGGGCAGCTGCGGGAAACAAAGGGTGGAGCTACGAAGAGGTCTTGCCGTACTTCAAGAAATCAGAAAACTTGGACGATCCTTTGATTTGGGCAACGGAGGACGCTAAAATATTCCATAATAGTGATGGTTTGCTGACGGTTGGCTCATGGGCTGAGAATGAAATGAAAGAAGCTATAGAAGTTGTTGCAGAAGGTCTAGCAGATATCGGATACCCATTCAATGCAGATCTCAATGGAAAAAATCATTCTGGATTTACAAAAATGTCAGGAGCCATAAGAGATCAAAGAAGATGCTCTTCTGCAAAATCTTTTCTAACACCTGCCAAAAATAGGAGAAACCTATTTCTTTCCAAAAACTCACTTGTTACCAAGATATTAATGGATATTCAACACAACAAGGTTTATGGAATACACCTTATGAACAAAGAAGGTAAGATTATTGAAGTAAAAGTGAAAAAAGAAATCATTGTATCAGCTGGAGCTATCAATTCACCACAACTTCTCATGCTCTCAGGTATAGGGCCCGAGCGGCACTTACAAGAATTAGGAATTCCAGTAATAAAGAATTTACCAGTTGGAGAGAATCTTCAAGACCACAGCTTAATGGCCACTATAGCTTTGACGTTGAATTTAAGCATTACGTTTTCTCCATTTAACGATCAAGACACATTCAACTTTCTTTTTAAAAAACCGGGCAGTCTATCTAGTGCGGGCCTCCCATACGCAGCCTTCATAAATATAGACGCAGACGATTACCCTAACATGGAGCTACTTCAAAGCTACAACCCCAAAAATAACACAAACTCTGTTAAGCTAATGTTACAAAAATCGTTCAACTTCAAAGATGAATTATTGGCCGATTTTATAAATATCAACAAAATGGACTATACAATCATTTTACTTGCCTCGATGCTGAGACCGTACAGTAGAGGAAGAATTTTGTTGAAAAGTGACCAGCCAAATACCTACCCTCAGATTATTGCAGGGACATTTACTGATCAGCGTGATGTTGAAACGTATCTTAAGGTTTATGATTTTATTTCAAGGCTAGTTGATACTCAAGCTATGAGGAATGTTGGGGCAAAGTTCCACGAAATCAAGGTCCCAGGGTGTAGTCAACATGAGTTTGCTTCTCGTGCGTACAGGGAATGTGCTATGAGACATCTCACAGGGACTACCTACCACTACAGTGGGACTTGCAAGATGGGTCCTGCCAGGGACTCCTCAGCAGTAGTGGACCCTACTCTCAGGGTACATGGTGTAGAAGGCCTCAGAGTCGCTGATGCTTCAGTCATGCCTACCGTCGTCTCTGGCCATCCCAACGCCGCCATCGTCATGATTGGTGAGAAAGTGGCAGACCTGATTAAAGGGGATTGGTCATGATACTAACATAAAAGTATTTTAGAAGTAGAATTTTGATTTAGAAATAGATTTGTATACTTATAACTCTCAAAGAGCGAAATCGGTTGACTTAGATTGGTTTTTAATGTACTAGTGAACTTGCATTATAATAATTTGCTCCAAGTACAAATATGTTTTAATATTTGTTAACATACGTTGTGTATATAATAACACTCTGCATTTTTCATAATCATGTGTATACATAATTTGTAATTAAAGACACTTTTTTCATAAGCATTTAATGTTCATTTAGCCATTTACTAGTAATACTCACAGCTGGTTTAAAATACGAATGTTTATTAGGACTGTGGCATATTTATGATTTTTTTAAATTGATAATTTATTTACCATCAGTAAACAGAATTATTTTATTAATGGATTATTTTAGCATACTTACTTTGCTCAAAATACCATTTTATTTAGTAGAAATGGTTAAATGATAGTTTTGTATCCATCTTTGCCCAAGATAGTATATTTTATTTGAATTTGAGTGATTATTAAGTGTGTGAATTTGATTGAGAAAACAAAAATTTGGAGATGCATTAATGAGAATCAAAAAGTCAATCAAAGAGTTTCTTTCTTAGCTTTTACAACGTAATTAATCTCAAACCTATTTCGCAATCAGTGAGGAATAGGTTCAAAAGAATAAAAGTAAAACTCAAGATTCAAGAGTGTATTTATATAGGCTTAAAAAAATGATGATCAGTCAGATTAAGGTAAATTTGACAGCGGTTTACCACACTGAATCTGTTGTTGTGTCGTCTGCAATGTGACCAGAGCTATTTTACGCTGTGATATTAGCCAAACAAACAGGTAAATATAAAATAACAGTGTCTGACCTTTCTGAAAAATATTCATTATCTGTCATAAACTCAATACACAATTCTATATCAGACCTTGAAGTTAAATTATACTTGAACACTTATAATAGAGCACTCTTTTGGCGAATACAGATCAATAAAATAAGTTTATAAGTTTGATAATAATAAGTTTATTATGGTTTTAGTATGTACTGCTTATCTAATAGCATTTGCATCAAATGAACCTTGGGCTGTATTTATAACAATAAAGATTGTATGGAGACACAGCTAGGCTATGGTTGAAGCAACTTAGTCCTGGAAACCCTGTTCAAATTAGCCTACCTACACCAACTACCAATAGCGTCAAGGTGGATGATGATGCCAAGGCGACGTGATGATTCGAGGCCACCATTAATATTTAGGTCTTTTTTGTAAAAATAGAGTAGGTCACTTAGGATACTATACAAATTATTTGTATTGGAAAATATTTTCTGGGAAAAAGTAATTTGTTTGAGCCTTCAAAGTAATGATAGAAATATTATAAAATGCACGCACTCTTGTCTCAACTATTATTACGTCGTAGAATTGTTGGTTAATTTATTAATTATTCTGTTGTGTATGCTCTGTTTTGTTAATGCATCTATTAAGGGATTACGAACATTTGAATATGCCTGATAACGTTTTACTATACAATATTTGAATTATATACTGATATATTTAACCCACTACTATATTTAAGTTGTCGGATTTAACCAATTATTCTACGCTATTACATGTAATCCCACTGACTGGATTACAACCTTTTACCCTATTACTCTTCATATCTCGCTATAGAATGTTTTAGATTGAATACTTTATGAAACATAGCATAACATTATTTAAAAAAGGTAGGGTGAGTGCAACAGTTAACAACCACTCCCCGCCCACAGATGAATGGCCTTTTCGTACAAAAACATCATACTAAGTTTTTTTTTTGCCGAGTCTATAAATTACAATATAATTTAAAAGTAACCTTTTAGCATGATTGCAATGTACTCTGTCACTGGTTGAAAAATAATGTGTCAATCATTCTTTGTAACACAAATAGTTAGTGCATTAACCAGTTCATCTCCAAGCTTACCACTATAGCATGTAGTACAAACAAGGTGGGTTTTATTTGACATATTTCTCTTTACCTTGACAGAAAAAGTAAAAATGCTATAGTACAATTATGTACTCATTCTAAGATCGTAATCCCAACCAACGATTATTTTATCAAGTGGTCATTAACTGGATCAAAGCTCTGTATAACCATTGGCCGGCTCGGGTTTGAATAATTTTTCTTTCAAATTTTAGGAAATGATACTATCTGGGGGATTAGGTACTTGCATTGACTATATTAGGGAACACAAAATCTCGAAAAATATCATGTGGACGCACTGTAATCTGAATTTGACTATAGGTTCAAGGTCACGGTTTTTTACTTCAATAGATAAAAATTTGTCATTCACTCGTATATTTTATGATCCTGAAATGGTTATTATTATTATATACAAAGTGTCCAGGGGCCCTATTTTTGAAATGGTTGACAGTTGAGTCAATCGGCAACACTCAACTCAACCAACAACAGGATTTGGTATTTTTGAAACCCAACAGTGGAGAAGTGAGTTAGGAATCACTAGTTGAAATTGAGTGACTCGTTTTGGAAATGTAGGGCATACGACCGCACGAAATCAGATGACGTCATTTTGAACCAATCACAATGCAGAGTTCTTGCGATCTTCAATTTAACCTCTTCTTACTCTAAAAACTGTATCAGCTAATCTCAATCTACCATATTTCGAGTTACTGAGGTAAACTGTCAACTCCGTTCTTGAGAGATTGAGGTTATGTCTTACTTAATCTTAGCGATTGCAAAAGTACCTTAACTTATATAAACTTAAGTATTAAAAATAAAATTTACCATGGATGTTTGTTTTAGGGTGTAGCTAATTATACGTTTAGGCATATCCTAAATATATTATTATTTGCTTTCTCGTCTCTATTTCAGAACACATCACCTTATTTTAGTTTCCTACATCGTTTTGTTTCATGTTATTTTTAATTGTGTTTTTATTTAGGTTAAAGCGGCTATTTGCCATTGCACTGAAAGCATATCGTAACTTAAATTAATTTGATCCCTTTATTAGGTGAATGGTATTGAAACAAACTATGGTATTGTTTTTCTCTACCACAATCTTTACTAGGCCTACCTTAAATCATAGGTCTAATAACAATAATTATCTTATAATAAGTTCAATTAGTATGCCTATTCTATTTTAAACATACCAACAAGGATAAAACCCTTGATTAAATAGTCTAGTATTGCCACAGTAAATAAAATTAAAATGCAATTATTCTACAGAAAACAATCGCATAAAGTATTGGGTGCTAAGACATTGACAACAAATACATAACCTCTAAATTGCAATTAGTAAATTAAAGCAATAACAATATGGCGTCGACTCAAAAAGAGCAATTTTTTTCCGAAAGAGGAATAAGAAAGTGCAGTCAACCATCCACTCAACAGCTCGATAGGTAGTGAGTAGTTTTGGTTGGGTAAGTCCACCGTCAATCGTTTGAAAAATACGAAACTATTGGAAATAGAGTGTCTCAACACACAACTCAACAGTCAACCATTTCAAAAATAGGGCCCCAGCTTTGACATACGAATCTTGAATAGGATATTGTATGGAAAGGAGGGGGTTTAGTAAAATTTTTAAAGCTGTACAAATATGCGGTAATTTACTGATGCAATGGTTTGTGATTGTATTTTTACCACTCTGAATTCAAATTTTTTAAGTTGTATCGTTGATGAATACAAAATATTACCGACGAAATGCTTAAACTATTCTTTACTCTGTTGCTTAAAAGTCTTTTTTCCCATTCGGATACAAGTGGGAACTCTTGCTTAAACGGCCATTCACAGGTGCTATATTTCAGCCTGTGTAAAACATTGTTTATGTTTTTATGGTTTTAAAAGTGTATAAAAGTGTGATATGATTCTAATGGAATTCAAACCAACAACAACCATTGCATTAATGGGCAATTTTCTGATAGGTGTACAATACAACGGTACGTTTATAATCCAAGGGATCCTCTACCCATCAATGATTGAGTAACCGACCACGTCATTATAGTAGGTCGGATGTGTATCGATGAGCAATGACTCAAACTGTCATTTAGACTATATGTCCAGCAACAACGTGCTGACCAATCCATCAAACATGCGTTTTAACAAATAATCATTCCGTCGGAGATTTATCATGGAATACATTCAAAATTCATTAATTTGGGATACATATTTGAGATAATATTTGGATTTAAGAAAGGTTTTCTTTAGTGTCTCCAGATTACATATTATTTAGATTTTTAATTATGGAATCATTGATACACTACAGTATGGTTGCCGTTTATAAAAATGTACAGGTAGTATTTTCAAATAGAAAACGTTTGAGTCAGAAACAAATGAGAATATAACATACATATGTTAACACGGTGGAAACTAATATCGCTTCTCATATAACGGGTAATTTGTAACATGAGTACATCGGCAATATAACGTGTAGAACTTCAAAAGGATGTTTCTACTCCAGTCAGATATTGCAAGGTTGCAAGTCTAGTATTTGTATATTGATATTCATAGGAAGCTCGTATCACTTAATTATATCTATGAAAGTATACCTTTTGTGGTACTGATGTTAAAAAATTGTGTTATTAAAATGTATATTCACAACAAATCGATAAAAACCTTCATAATCATACTTGAGTTGAATAATGACCTATTCAGATTTAATACTTCAACTCTTAACGTACCACAGATTGTTTCAATACGTATAGGCCCTAATACCAATCCTCATACAGGGTGTCCCGGAACTCTCTACCAATATTTTAGGACATTGCTCCTGGGTAAGAAACATACCTAAATATCATATTTAAATTGTTCCGAAGTCCTTAGTTACTCACACAGCCGCCATTTCGTTTTTTTTCAGTTATTAATTTTTTTTTTAAAGAATGGTTAAACATATGAAATGGAAACTTTGCACAAACATTTATTACAACTAGACAAAGCTAAAAAAAATTATAACGATTTTTCAAATTCATAAAACAAAATGGTGGCCATTTAAAATTTTTATATAGTCAACGGTTTTTGAGTTATTTAGGAAGCAAAATTTTAAATGGCCGCCATTTTGTTTTATATTAGAAAAAATCGTCATAATTTTTTTGTAGCTTTGTCTAGTTGTCATAAATGTTTGTGCACAGTTTCCATTTCGTATGTTTAACCATTCTTTAGAAAAACATTTATAGCTGAAAAAAACTAAATGGCGGCTGTGTGAGTAACTCCGGACAATTTAAATATGATATTTAGGTATGTTTCTTACCCAGGAGCAATGCCCTAAAATATTAGTAGAGAGTTCCTTGACACCCTGTATATAATACGTGAAGGCGATTTCCACGGACCACTACTCCTCCGTTAATAAATTGACGG